GTATATTTTTGGATCTGTAAACAATATTGATCTGAAATTTTTTGTATATTATTGGAAATTTTGTTGTCTAACTAACAAGAAAAAATTGAGTCCATTTGGTCCAAAATTACGCCCGGTATTCAAAAAAAGGCGGACCAAGGTATGGTAAATTTTGTATCACTAAATTTTTAAATGCCTATAACTCGGATATTATAAGAGATAAGTAGTATGTCTAAGCATGTTTTTTCAAGATCTCGTCGAGCGCTTTCACAAAATATAAAAATCTTTGTATTTGGGTGAAAAACAAAAAAATGGCACGAGTTTAAAAATTTTACATGTCGTAGGTACCCTACTTTGAGCCGCCACAGCGCCGTCCCTGGGGCATCTCCAGGGTTCATCTTCAAAACTTAAACTCGAATACTCCTTGGCTACGCTCACGCCAAATTTTATCCCGATCGGATCAGCCGTTTAGAAATGCCAGATTTATTTCCAAAAAATTTCCATTTTGCCCCACTGTGGAGTAGTAAAAACTGAAATCTACTATATAGGATGACGTTTTGTTAAGGCATGTTTTGGGGTTGTATACCGCTATAATATATTGAAAATTTAAAATATATTAGTGCCAATATGTACATGAATATACACTAGACAACTTTGTCGGAAAATATCGTCCCTAGAGGTATGAAAAGGGACTTATGATCCAGATAATTCAATTAGAAACTGAAAAACGATACCAAAAATACATCTTGGAACGTTTAAGTACAGATCCTTATAACAAAAAATATTATTACAAATATAGCCAAAAATCGCCATTTTAATGATATTACATGAAAAGAGGGTACAAATCCCCCAAAATTGTGGACCAAATGGGTCAAAAATATATCCATGCGGTTGATAGTAACCCCTTAAAACAATATTAAGCATAAAACCATGCGATTCTAGAATTTGTGTATCGTATAATATGATCAAATATGAAATACAGGAAAAATTCGCATACTTTTGTGGAGTAGTTTCATGGACTATTTAAAAAAAAAAGCACAACTAATTTAAGTAAATGTAAAATTTTCAAGTTTTAAGGGGCGTGATATCCAAACTAAGGACTATCTAGACAATATAACAAATTAATTTATTAATTTATGTATTTTCCACACAAAATATATTATTAAATTTGGTTTCTTTTCATAGTTTACCCAAATTCGAATACTTATGAGAGACACTGTATGTTTTCATTTATGGTTTGTGAGTAAAGAAACTTTTTACGGTTTTGAGTTTATATTTTTTTCATTTCAAAAAAGTTTTCGAAGAATATAATTTCAAATTCTAAATAATTCTTGAAAATGATGAGCAAAAGATATGTATGTAAATCTTATCATACAATTTTGAATTATATATAAATAAATTATAAATATTTGTTCTAGATAACACAAAACGTAAGTGAACAAATAAAAAAGTTCATTTATACAGTTAATCACAAAAATAAGTATACAGAAATGCTGATAATTGGTTTTATTTAAAAACGGATATTATTTTTTCCAAAATCAAAAAGTAACACATTTATTTATTAAAAACAATTATGACACTCAAAAACACTCATTACGCGATATAATGCTTTTTATAGACCTAGATGAGTATATCATTTTACCATTTTTAGAATCTTCAATATATCCTAAAAATCGGAAGATATTGGAAAAAACGCTTTTTGTTGACTAGATAGACCAAAAAAAAATTATATCTCAACATTTTCTTAACCGATTTAATATTTTTCAACCGTTATGAAAAAGAGTTTCCTTTGTCCTTTTTAAAAAGTATACACACTTTTATATTTTTTACGGAAATGTGTAAAATATTTAGATCTAAATACAAATTTTTATATTGTTTTCCATTTTTTTTACAATTCAGTATTCACTTTATTTGAAAACATATTTTGCAAATATTTTTTTATTTTAGATTTATTTTCGTAAAAACAAAAATTTACCAAATCCCTCATTTCTAAAGTAAATTATCAATTTGAATAATAAAGCTTATATTTGTGTTGCATATCTTACGTTGATATTTTACTTTAGAAATGAGAGATTTGGTAAATTTTTATTTTTACGAAAATAAATCTATTTCTGTCAGTTTTTATCTAATTTCAACCTTTCATATCTTATTTTATTCATAAAATAAAAAAATATTTTAAAAATATGTTTTCTAATAAAGTGTGGGTCAAAAATTATCGTGAATCGTAAAAAAATTAAAAAAAAAAAATATATAAAAATTTGTATTTAGATCTAAATATTTTACACATTTCCTTAAAAAATATAAAAGTGTGTGTACTTTTTGTAAAGTACAAAGGAAACTCTTTCCAAAACAGTTGAAAAATATTAAATCGGTTATGAAAATTTTGAGATATAATTTTTTTTGGTCTGTCTAGACAACAAAAAACTTTTTTTCCAATATCTTCCGATTTTTAGGGTATATTGAATATTCTAAAAATGGTACTGTAATCTACTCTACTAGACCTACCAACTTCACTAGGTCTCGCAATGAGTGTATTGATTTTTTGTAATTTTGTCACACCGTGTTATTATTTACTACTTTTTTCTGGATATTTTTGTTATTTGAGCTCTCATTTAAGCTGAAGTTAAATTAGTGCAAAAATTCATTATATATTTGGTTTAATGATATTTACAAAATTTATAAAAATTTTACCAATTTGAATATAATTACTTTATAATGAAATATTTTTTAAACAATAACTTCGAAAAAATCCACTTTTAGATCCGAAATCCTGAAATTTGGGTCGAAATTTTTCCACTTTAGACCCCGGATTTTAGATCTGACGCACAGTGGTGTAGGAAAAAAAAAGAGGGAAATAATTCGGTAACTTCTAAACGGTTAATCCGATTTTAATGAAATTTGGTATGCACAAAGAGGAGGTGTTGTCGAGTTTAGGTTTAGGCCAACCAGGGGCCCGGCGGGGGGTCCTCAAATTAGGACACCTCGGCTATGTTAAATTTTTAAAACGATCCTATTTCTTCATTTGAGTTCCGATTTTTTAAGTTACAAATTAATTAGGGAAAACTCAACATCTTTTAGAGAATTTACCTAGTACTATTATTTTCAATATATTTTTTTAATATATGTAAAAATTCTCTAAAAGATGTTGAGTCACTTAAAAAACATTTGAAAATTAAAAAATTCGCGGAAGATTTTTTTAAAAAAAAAATTAAAAAATGTTTTTTATTCAGTTTTTGCGAAGATACAAATTTTTCAAATTGCAATAAAAATTTTATTTATGAATATTTTTTGATGAAATTTTTCAGTTAGGTAGATTTTTTTACTCAAAATCCAAAATTAAATAAAAATTTCGAATTTTCTTATTAGAAATCCCGGAATTCCCAAAAAAGTTTTAAAAAATCCCAAAAATGTGATTTTTTGGTTTTTTGCCTATTATATCCATACCAGGGGCGGGGTTATCGAAACCCGTTACAAAATGATTAAGAACATATTGGGTCATATAAAACAGGTCACTATAATTTGATATCGACTATGCGATTTGAGAATTTTTGCTCAAAATTGAATTTTCCATAAAAAATAGGGTTTTTTTGGATGGACCTGGTCCCCTCGGTATCAAAAATTTTTAGGTTTTGTTTCATTTATCGTATTTTATGTAAAGTCAGCTTTCCAAAAAGTATAAATTCTATATACATCTTCTTAGAAACTTTTTAGATAACTTAAAAAGAAAAAGATACCTTTTTCCCAAAAAAATGGCAAAAAATCGCCTTTTTTTAATTTTTTAAATTAAAATGCCTATAACTCTGGACTCAGTCATGATTTTTACATAATTCTTTCACTGCTTGATATATAAACTTGTTGTTAAGCGAATAAAAAAAATGGCGAAAATCGGGAATATTTGGACCCGCTATTATCAAAAAAATAAAGTAAGGACGGTAAAAATTTTAAAATTTTAATTTTCAAATGCGAATATCTCCTAAACTATAAGAGATAATTTACTGCTTATAGTGCTCGATGAGGAGATTCTATATACGAAATTTTTTTTAAATCGGAACTCAAATGAAGAAATAGGATCGTTTTAAAAATTTAACATAGCCGAGGTGTCCTAATTTGAAGACCCCCCGCCGGGCCCTTGGTTGGCCTATAAGGTCCAAATTCAAAACCTAAACTCGACAACACCTCCTTTTTGTGCATACAAAATTTCATTAAAATCGAATTAACCGTTTAGAAGTTACCGAATTATTTCCCTCTTTTTTTTTCCTATACCACTGTGTGACGGTCATTGGACCTTCCAAATGACATATTAGAAGTTGAATTTTTAACTTTTGAAAAGAGATATTATTTTGAAATTAATGTGATATGCTTGGATTCGGCCATTTTGAACACAGTACGTTCTTATAATCCGAAATTTTAATTTAATATTAAAATCTTATTATTTTGGACAATAACCAATTTCGAAACCGATATGTAGTGTAAGTTATTGACAGGGTCACCATTTGACGATTATTGGTAGTATTTAGAAGTGTGTGATGGATGATTGGAATTTAAAAATTTCGGAACTAAAAGTGGGTTTTTTCCATGTTATTGTGTAAAAAATATTTTATTATAAAGTAATTATAATCAAACAGGTAAAATTTTCCTAAATTTTGTTAATATAATGTGACGTAGATTTTGCACCTATTTAACTTAACTTTAAATGAGAACTGATTTAAATAATCTAAACAAAGAATGATGTATTTAGCGATACCGAATCAATACATGTGTCGAATTTCGCGTGCTGCCCTATATATACCTTGTATCTTTTACTACCATGATTTACTCACTTTTTATATTTATGCTGAATTGTATTATCATATATTAATTTCTCAAAACATAAATTTGTCGAGTATAAGGAGGGTACGGTATATATCTCGATGTCTTCCATACTGTACAATATAATTTTTTTATATTTATTTTCAAAATAAACCTAGCCTAGAGGGAAACTGGCGATGTTTTTAATAAGAAGTTTTAAGTAAAACACAAAATTTACAATTAAATTAGTCGTAATTATATTGTACAAATATAAAACAAAATTAAAAAAATAATTATAATACAAAACGAAATAACATTTAATGCATTGGGAACTGTCTCTGTTGCTCATTGGCTTCCATTTGACGGAAACTCCAACCACCTTGACCATCAAATTCTAATATATGTGTGTGAAATTTCCTACAAAAAAAAAAAAAAAACAAATATTAATAATATTCCTTCATCAGAATCATAAACTAAACATACCATAAGGTCGGTCGATGTGTAATAGTCAAGAGAGTAATGCCCATACTTTTGGCAGTTTCATAAATTGAACTTTCTACATCAATTGATACTGCACTGGTGCATTCATCTAATAAGGCATATTTCGGTCTATTAAATTACGACAAAAAGAAAAATAGTGTCAATTACATTTAACAAGAAAGTAAACTTAAATAAAAATGTATACTTATGGTAGAAAAGTCGGGCTACAGCCATGCGTTGCTTTTCTCCTCCTGATAAAATATCTTTCCAATCACGTATAACATCAAAACCATCCCTGGAATTATAATAATAAAATATATTGCCATATAAATCAAATACAATGAAATACATTTTATAAAAAAATATTTTTAAGAACTCAAACTGTTAAGAATATTTATTTAACATGCAGCTATTTTTAACGTTGTAAAACTGAACAGTGAGAACTGTCGATCTATGTCTATTTCTAATGATAAATACTCCACGATGTTCAAATATAATATTCAAAGGGAAAAACTACTATGACCCGACAATTGAGGCCAATTCTAAAATGTCTTATTGCTGTTCTTAAAAAAACAAGTAGGAAAGTATAGTCGGACATGGCCGACCATATGATATACCAGTTATGAGTGTATTTAAAAATTATTTATTTTTTTATAAAAAAATTTTATGTATATGAAAAACAAATTTTCTATAAGAGGGTTTATATGGGAGATAGGGTCAAATTTGGAGGACGATTTTATTTTTAAATATTATACTATGGTGTGCTGAATTTCGCGATACTAATGGTTATGGACGTTTAAGGCATTTACTGAAGAGGAGTTTGTATGGGGGCTAGAGTCAAATGAGAACCGATCAATACTGTAGTATCATTTATGCTTACATAAAACTTAGTTGTGCCGATTTTTTAAGATATGCTGGTATATTTGAGGTAGTTGTTTGGGTGAATCTCTTAAGTAAGAAGGAAATGGATGGAGAAAAGGAAAAGGTGCTGAACTCTCTGAGCCGAAACAAAATCCCAATGATTTTGTACTCAGTACAATTTAATAAATGGAAGAAAAGGCAAAGAAATAAAACAATAGAATTAGGATTTTTCTATGTATATTTATTAAACGGTTGGACAAAGGATTTCTTACCAAGGATAGGTGGACTGTATTGTTAGGAGTTAGAATTTGATCTGGCGCAAATAAGCATCTACGACATTTATCACACTATGACAGTTACTTTAGAACATTATGACAAGTATACTGCAACACATAGCAATCAGCATTGATATACATTGACGTAGGGTTTGCATCGAAAATAAGAAAAATATGGATAATAAGGAAAATTGCTATATGTTATTTTTTGGCATAAACAGTAGTAATTAGCTAAAAGGCCTAAATCAGAATTTTCGGTTGTATGGGGGCTATATGAAATAATGGACCGTTTGTCCAATTTCATCAAAATATCTTAAAAATTGCGGCCATACCTTTTGCACATAGACACAAAGCAAGCCGGACATGTCTTAATCGACTAAGAAAGAGACTCGGAGTCGATCGGTATACTTTAAGGTTGATGTAGGACCAATATTTTTTGCGTTACAAACATCAGCACAAAAGTGGTGTAGGGTACCACTATGGTGGTGTAGGGTATAAAAACGATATAAAAAATTTATATAAGTAGTTGTGCGGTGGATCTTCGATTAATCTTTAGACATGATATGATATAAATATGTATTTCGCTGCAGTATCATCTTAATAAATAATTTCTAATTTTAATATATATTTCTCTTACCTTTGAACTAAATGTTCTAAGGAAACCATTTTTAATATGGATCTTAATTCGTTTTCTGTTATGCCCTTCCTTAGCATATTTTCGCGACAATCGGGATAGATGATTTGATCACAAAGACTACCAATTGACATGTATGGACGTTGTGGTATGTAGAACATACAAGGTTTTCCTTCAACCGGTTGAGGTATATGCAATTCTCCCGAGTATATTGGCCACAGTCCACTTAAAATACGGAATAAACTGGATTTACCACAACCATTTGGCCCAGTTATCAGTAAATGCATGCCGGGTTCTATGCTTAAATTCAAACATGGTACCACAACATCACAATTGGGTGTAACGACAGGTACAGCAATAAGAGAAATTGACATGTCGGGATCCCTCTTATAAATAATACGACCTTTAGCTATTGGTTTGCCATTTCGGAATTCAATAATACCCTGGGTTTCATTGCTTTCTGCAACAGTTGTTTTGCTGTAGATTCCTTGAGCGGTTTCTTCAAATACCTCAAGCATTCCTGCCACACGACATGTATAGCCAGCCAGTGCAACAACTTCTTTATATGAAGACATCAAACGTTCAATAGCATCGGCTGCGGAAATCAACAAATTCCTTGCTGTCGTTAAGTACTGAGTACGTTCACTAACTGTAGAGTCGTTATTAGAAGAGCTTGTTGATTTGCTTGTAACAGCACCAGTTAATATTGGTAGAGAAACCATAACCATGCCTGTACCCGACCACACATATTTCATAAAGAATTGCTCTAGCATTACAAACCACAATTTTTGCGTAAATATTGTGTTCATTTGATTAACCAGGCGATTATAGGCCTGTCTAAGTTGTTGAAGTTCCACCTTGTGGCCGCCGTAGAAAGCAATTTCTTCTGCGTTCGTTATAATACGCGAATGTATGTGACGTAGATAACCGTAACGGTTTGCTTCTTCAGATACTAATTGCCCAAATTTCGGAGAAACTACTCTCATTATATGGGCTGTTAGAGAAATTACGGTTATCGATAATGCAGGACCTTTAAAAGAGAAATATATACAATTCAATTTTAATTTTTTTTTCATATTCGTTCTATAAAAATAATAATGAGTTATAATTTGGGTTTTCTTTTAAAAGTCTAATTTTTTCAGATTAATTAATTCTTTGCACATATGATAAAAATAATTTATTTTAAATTTAACCTCTGCTATATACACGATCGGATAAAATAAAATTCAAAAGTATTCATGCTATATTCTTTCAGAGAAAAATCTGTTAACTCTTTCGCGTATACGGGACACCGGTGTCCCAAGATTTTTTTTACATTTTTCTCGATATAGAGCGTAATTTTAAGTTCGCAGCTACAGTAAACGGTTATTTCTAAAGAAAAATAAGTTATTTTTAGAATTTGATGTCACTTCATTCGAAAACACTTTTTCCATTTTTCATCTAATATGATCAATATACGTCAAAATAAAGTGTGTGGTGAAGTCATATCCATAAAAAGTCTAGCGGTTTAGTTTTGTGCGTGAAAGGGTTAAATGATTATTAAATATGGAAAGCAAAGTATATATATTCAGAGTCGATTTAGCTGTGTCCGTCTGTCTGCCTCAAACACTCTCATGTTAAAACTAAGCAAATAAATCAGCCAAATTCACTGAAAATATTCACTATTGGATTGAAAATCCGCCAAATCGGTTAACAACGTAAAAAGTTATGAGTTTTCTCATAAACTACTAAAGATAATGGAATGAATTTTGTCACACCTTATTTTCTTTACCCAGGGATCAAAAATGCTCAAACTCAAAAAATCGATTCAAAATTTCTCATAGCCCCCATACAAAGGTACATATTTTCGGAAATAGATTTATCGTTAATAACTTCGGCAAAAATATCGGTATCACCACGAAATTTTGCACATATGTATATAATAAGAACAGAAATCATATTACCAACGTAGATCTGTATAGGTCGATTTTGATCACAGTTCCCATATATGGTCCACTTTCGAAAAATACTTAAATACAAATAACTAATTAAGAAATAAAGATATTAAATAATATTCAACATAAATATGTTTTGTGTATATTACTTTGCAAAATATTTTCCGGATTGGTCCATAATTGGGCATAGCTCCCATATAAGGCCCATTCCGATAACCACGTAATCGCACATATTACATAACTGAATGAAACTATCGGTATAAAATTCATCATGAATGTGTTTAAAGTAGATATAAAACACCCAAGTATGGGCCTGCGGCTCGGCCCATACTTGGTCACAGCTCCCATGTAAGGTCAACTTCAGAAAATTACTTAAATGCACATAACTAATTTAGAAATAAAGATATTGAAGTAATATTCAACATAAATATGTATTGTATATACATATATCACTCTGCAAAATGTATTTTGGATCGGTCCATAATTGGGCATAGATCCCATATAAGACCCATTTCCGATAACCACGTAAACGCAAATTTTACATAACTGAATGAAGATATCGGTATAACATTAGTCATGAATGTGTTTAAAGTATATATGAAACACCCTGCGAAATGTTTTCCGGATCGGTCCATGTTTAGTCACAGCTCCCAAATAAGGACCACTTCCGAAAATCGCTTAAATGCAAATATCCAAAGATATTTTAAAACAAGTAAGAAATTATAGTAGGGCGAGGCCGACCATATAATACCCTACACCTGTTACAAAAATAAAATGTGATTTAGTTTTCATAATAGAGCATTTAGTTGAATTGTACCTTGCCTCAGATATACTTAATGGTATACGCACAATTAGGACGAACGACGAATTTCGCTTAGCACGACGAACGATTCCACAAAAAATTGTTGCGTAAATTTGTCGATTGGAGCACAATTAAACTTTACGCACTGCGAATCTATCTTTCAATTCTCAGCTTTTCTTTGTTTTTATTTTTAAATGCACTTTTTTGGTTTTTTATCACAAACAAATTATTATTTAAATTTTCAAATAAATAATTTTTGTTTACATACTGGTTGGGGTGACCATATTTACCAAACAAATATTATTAATCCTCATTTTTGCATTCAAAGATAATTATATTAATAAGAAAAGTATACATTTAATTTATATAAAAATAAGTTTTTTTTTCGGATCGGTCCATAATTGTTCATATCTGTCATACAAGATCCACTTCAGAAAATCGCATATTTCACTGATAAATAAAGATATCGGAATAAGGATATTTTGTGTATATAAGAAATCTTTTTTTGAAAAAAAATTAGGATCAATTTCCATAAGTCACTTTTTCCAATATATTTCATCCAATTATAAATATATACGGATAAAATACGACACAGTGTGTTTTTATCGATAAATCATTCTGTGAAATTTTGTTCGAATTGGCCATATCTCCATAAAAGGTATACATATATGATTTCTAAATGATAGATAGCACCCTCATTACGTAAGCACAATTTAAACTTTCACAATTTATTAAATACGTATCAAGTAATATTTATAAGGGTTTTCATAAAAAGTAGCTTACAGGTGGAGGGTATTTAAGATTCGGCATAATATACAATCAAACAAAAATAACAATAAAACAAAGTTATTTTATTTAATATTTTTTGTATATAATCTAAAATTAAATTCACTTTTTTACGGACAAAATAAAGTAGGGTAGAAGGGGGATCATCGCATTTGGGGCACATCTGCCAACAGCGAATAACTTGAAAACCGAGTAATCGATTTTATCGCATTATCAAATTTTGTTTTCGTTCATCGATTATCTATCATCCCTGAAAGTTTGAAAGATTAACTTTACATATGGGAGGCAGGTGAGATTAATTGTTTTTCAACGGGCTGTAAAAATATTTCCCTGTGTAATTTTTTTAGTTTTTGTGATAGAAAAAATATATTGGTCAGTGATAGAATGTCAATAATAGTGTACAATAAGGCATAATAATATTTTCGATAATGTAATTTGAAGCCCGATAAAAATTTAAACTAAACCCCAAAACTGCCCATGGGGCATATTCGCCAAATATATGTAATGGTTGTTATGTAGAACAAAATTTGGTTAAAATATAGAAAAAATCAGTAAAAATTTGGTTTATTTTTTTTTTTTGTTAAGTTAATAATCTAGTTTATTATAGTTTGTTTAGTGTATTAAAATATAAAACAGCAAAATAAGTTTTTATTTTTTAATTCTTTTGGCTTATTTTACTAATGACAAATCTGTCGGTATCGCCGTTTTTGGCCATAGCGGAAAAGTTAAAAAAATATGTACATGAGGATGACTTAGGAAAGATTGAAAGGGATAAAACTAAAGCCAGCATATCTAAGTATCTGAACCAAGAAAAAAACAAGTTAGAGTGCTATATTCGGCTATGCCGAATCTTAAATTCCCTCCACCAGCAAGCTACTTTTTATTAAAACCCATTTAACAATCTAGTTTTAACTCGGCATAAGTTTTGTTTCCATAGTGAGGGTACTATCATTTAGTAATTAGGTCTAAAAAAAAGTTATTGTAAGTGATTTTCGGATATGGACTTTTTAAACGATGTTGTTGGCGTTATATGGGAGCTACGACCTATAACGGATCAATTGGAATACATTTTAGCAGAATGATTTATCAATACACAGAATATGTTCATATCGAATTTTATCCGGATATAATCATTTAATAATGAATTATGTGGTATTAAGTGATTTTCAGAAGTGAACCTTATATGGGAGCTATGACTTTTTATGGACCGACCCGGATAAATTTCCGTATACTGATTTATATATACACAATACATATTCAACTTGAATTTTATCGCAATAACTTTTATTGTCAATGAAATTGTGTGACCAATTATGGACCGATCCGTGAAAAATATCGTATAATGATTTATACAACACATATTCACGTGGAATTTTACATCGATAGCTTTATTAGTTAATAAAATATAAAGGCACATAAGTGATTTTCGGAAGTTGACCTTATATGGATTGATACATACACAAAAAATATTCGTGCGAATTGTACCTCGATAGCTTTATTTATCAATGAAATATGCTCGTTTAAGTGATTTTCGAAAGTGGACCTTATATGGGAGCTATGACCAATTACGGGCCTATCCGGAAAAAAATTCGGAGAACTATGACCAATTGTGTACTTATTCGAAAAAAATTTCGCTGAATGATTTATATATACATATGTGGAATTTCATGTCATGTGATCCATTTTGAAAAAAAAATAGGGTTAAAAACACATTTTTTTGATGGATATCCCACTCGCAAAAAAAAAGGGCCTATTTTGGAAAAAAAAAATTAAACAAAAATTTACTTTAAAAAAATCTAAAAATTTTGGAAATAATGAAGAAATTGCTATCTGAACTCCTTTGGACAATTTTTGTTAGAACCAATAGGTGAAAAGTTACACTCATTTGAATAAAACCCTGTATGACCAAAATGTCCAACTTTGAACCCCTCTGACTCCGGTAGTTCTTGACCGATTATTACATTTCCGGAAATATGTACCTTTTTTTAGGGGGGCTATGGAAAGTTTAACTCGACTGTTTTGATTTTCAACATAATTAATCTTTATGTAAAAAAATAATGTGTGACAAAATTCATCGAATTATCTTTTGTAGTTTCTGAGAAAACGACTGAAGAATTATGAAAAAATCTTAATTTTTTTCGAGGTAGTCTGATATTTTTACTCATACCATTTTAGATTGTGAACCGATTTTGGTGATTTTCAATACTTAAATGCTTAGGACAACAATGCATATTTTCAGTGAATTTGGTTGATTTAATTTGCTTAGTTTTAACTTGAGCATGTTTTAACCAGACACACAGACAGACGGACAGATAAGGACCCAGAATATACATACTTTCTTGGGTCTCAGATGAATATTTCTCGGTGTTACGCAGGGAATGACAATCTTATATTCGCTCTATCACCACTGATGGTGGTGAAGGGTATAAAAAAAGATTTCGCAGAAAAAAAGCTCAATCTGATATAAATTTGTGAATAATTTTGCAAATAATGCAAAATTTTAAATTGTTTTATATAACGATTTAGAATATGGTCGTAAAAATATATTGTAGAA